AAACGTAGCAGACAAACCCTCAGTGAGTAAAAAATAACCATACGTACTTATATTCGAACAACAATCACAGTAATAGTATGCATTTAAATTTTCAGTTGGTTGGATCACCTTTACGTGATGATGATATAAACATGGACGCTGGTAAAGAATTGAATAGTACGCAAGAAATGAGCGATGACAGTGATGATTCATCAAGTGAAGAAGAAAGATATGAATTAGAAAGTGATGATGATGATGATCGAGAGGAAAATGATGGTGGTGGTGTTGATTCGAAATCGAAGGTAATTATGTTTTGTTTTAAAAACCAATTTGGCAGGACATGTGGAACATGACAAATGAGAACAAACTGATATTGCACGGATGTTTGATGCACCAATAAGAGCCGAAAATTGAAAACTGAGAGCTACATGTTGACAGTTATATACATGTCTTTTATCTTGGTACAATTCTACTTTTATATTTGCGAAAAATGTTTCACATCGTTTAGAAAGAATGCAGTTTACAAGACATATGTAAAATGTTAGGTGTATTAAAATTTCGTCATCATCATCCAGTGACATAGTTATATCATTACAGTTTCATTGTTATGGTGTTTCTGTCTATGATATTAATAATCAGTTGTCTGTATGGCCATTTTTCATGGTTGTTAATGAAATGCCATTGAAGTATCGTTTCGAATCATCTAATTTGATATTATTCACTTGCTGGTCAGCAGATATAAAATTAGATAGGCAACGAATGCAAATACTATTAAACAAAATGGTGAAAATGATGCTTCTATACGAACATGGAATAACATTGATTAATCCAGATGGCATGAGTATTAAAGTATGTAGGTGAGCACTTCTAAGATCGCGTTCTATAAGTTAATACTCTGCTACGAGCGTACTAAGCAGCAACAGGCATAACCTTGATAAAATACCTCTCACCAAGAGTGATGTGAAATTATTGCTTGTGTGAGAAAGTAAAATGATACTAAGCAAAAGCAATAAAAGCAAATAAAAAACTATACACCACTAATTCTATAAGCTACAAAGTTAGCTCATTTATGTTTATAGGCAAATGGAACGTTTCTCACTTTCTATCTTTGTTTAGGTACGTGTGTTTATGTTTATCGGAGTTATTGATAAAGTAGCTCGTTGCAAAGTTGAAAATCACATTCAGTATAACGGTGAGTATGGTTGTGCAATCTGTGGACAACCAGGTATGTCATCAATTTTGGAACGGCGTTACTTTCTCTGCCAGGACTTATTTTTTTGAATGACCTTTCTTCTGCTTATTTAGGGGGGAAGGTCCCTCACCCGTTTTTTTCCAGCAGTTTGTGGAAGACACTTCGAAGTATACGTCTCAACAAAGCTTTCAGTTCCCGGATTTATAGGTTTTGATAAAAAAATTTTAAACTTTTTTTCGGGTTTTTTGCCTTATTTGTAAAATTTCAAAAAAAGCTTCATTTTTTTATATGAAGAGTTGATTCTAGCGTAGTTCGATAGAGAACATTAATTTGTATAAGGAGAAAAACTTTACATCGTTTCCAAATGAAGTTTGACGGAGAAATTTAACTTTCACCTCCCCGAGGAAATTTTAGAGCTAAAAGTATTTTGAAAAAGGATTTACGGCTAGTTTGGCTCAAAGCAAGCATTTTGAAACAAAACTCTTAATACAAAATTTGTTCAGAATCAAATTCCGGAGTCCCTC